TATCATCATTGAGTATTTTCTGGACTTGTTCTTGAATTGCTTCGCGTTCTTTCGGTGCCACGCGGTATGGGTTTTGTCGAATTGGTCTTGCCGTCTCTTCTGTTATAATTTGGTGCTTTGTCAGTGGCGTTTGATTTACCGTCGAGGTCGATGAAAAACAATCTTCAAACTGGCCGAGAATATCTAGAAGACTCTGTCTCTGCGCTGGCGATAAATCTGTGCTCACGTCGACAGGCAGTGGTGTTGAAGCAGCCGGCGTCTCTGCCTGTTGTACTGCGAAGCACTCGTGGAATTCTACAATTTCTTCGAAGTATGCAACTGTGGTACCCTCTGTAATGTGTCGACGCTCATTGCTGAAGTTTGTCAACAGGAACTCTGCTTGCTCAGACACTACAGTGACGAGACTTTTGGCAATAGCGATTCCTCGAGAGAGTAAAGGCGTCGATATTTGTTCCGCGACACCTTTTCCAGTATGCTGCGTGTTACACGTGACAGAGACGAGGCGGCATGACAACGGTGGCATGGTCACGTCGTCAATCACGTGCATGGGCTTGCGCTGCAGCGCTGCGCTATGGTCCGCTGAGAAGGTCAGTACACCGTCCGGTATATTTATGATAGCACCGTACTCTCGCAAAAAATCTATACCCAAGATGGCCTGTTTACAACACTCAGAAAGAATAACGAAGGTGGCGACAAATGATGAATCCCCGATCTTGATTCGTGCGGTGCACTTTCCGGTAGGCGTCAGCAGCTGGCCTCCGGCTCCTCTAATTTGCCGCCCCGTCCATTCCATTTTTACCTTCTTGAGTTTGTCGGCCAGATTCGCACTCATTATTGAAAAGTCCGCACCAGTGTCGACCAGCGCGGTCCCGTCGTGACCGTCAATTGAAAGTGTAATGTCGGCGGTGACAATCTCGTCTTTCGTCGGTTCATTCGAAATGTGCGGCACTTCATGCGGCGGTAATGAGGGATTTCGAACTCTTCGGCAATTCGCAACCTTCCCCCCTAAGGTCGCTGCTTTTAGTTTCCCCGGCGTGGACTGGGAGATCTTCTCGCCATGTCCGTGGTGCTACCTATGTTAGATTGGGTAAAATGACAAGGGCAGGGCGAGCGTGACCGGAACCCAGGAGAAACGTCCCGCGGGATCGTCGTGCTCGTATCAACGTTGCGTCGTCCGTCGAAATAGCGCCGAGGGGTAGTGGACGGAAATCCTTGATATCCGGCAACGCGATGAGGACAATACCGCACGATGTGGCCTGCTTCCCCACAATGGAAGCACAGGGGCCTGTAGTCAGGGGTACGCCATATGTCGCTTTTGCGGAGTGGGGGTCGTATCGGCGTCGACGTTTCCCTGTAGTACCAAGGCACTGTCGGCGGCTGTTGCTGGTGGTACTTTTGAGGTGGCGGCACGTTAGATCTAGGCTGTCGACGGAGAATAGCCGCATATGTTGGGCTAACTATTTCAGTGTTCGGCTCGGGAAGTGAAAGCGCTTGCCTTATTTATTGGCGAACAACTTCTGTGACCAATGCAATCGCGCAGTCTTTCAGTGTGGTGGCGAGCTTCTTCACCTCTTCTTGCACATATTCACGTATCAGCTCACGCAAAGAACGCTCGTCAGGTGTCCCAGTGATCAAGGTGGTTGCGCTGATTTGTCCGCTGTCGTTTGGGCGGTCGTACTGGTGGCAGCGTAGCTGTAGTGCGCGTTCGATGGCGGTCGTCTTCGAAAATTCGTTGACGCTAGAAGGTGGGTTCCGCACGAGACCAGCAAAGAGCTGCTCTTTAACACCGCGCAAGAAGTGGCTAATCTTTCTGCTCTCAGACATATCGGGATCGGCTCGATTGAAGAGACAAGCCGTGTCCTCAACAAACATAGCAACAAATTCGTTTGGCTTTTGAATCCCTGAATCGAGGAGTCGTTGTGCATGCTCCCGCCTTTCGGTGTTTGCGAAGGTGTCCATGAACTTCCACCGGAACTCATTCCAGGTTGACCACACGCGATACGTGAACCATGTGTGAGCCCCATCATGAAGAGGGAAATACACGTACCCCGACTTCTGTGCGGCGTTCCACCCATTAACGTTGGCTGTGCGCTCGAACTCCTCAAGCCAGTCATCTGCATCCTCATATGTGTTGCCTTGGAAGTCCACAGAAATTTCAGGGGTGAAAACAGTCACCCAGTGTCGTGCTTGGGATAGTCATGGTGGGGCAACTGCTTCCGGACGCGGTCATGTTTTTCGTCTAAGGACCGAACTCTAGGCTCAGGCCTAACAGGCGGTGGCTGGCGCGGTGAACGGGTGTTTTGACGAGCGGAAGGCTTTGTGGACTAGATCCCGGGCTGTTGGAAGGTGTCCTGGACAAGTACCCAGCACCTTGACCAGTGTCACGACGCAGACACAGCAGGAGTCCGATATAGAAGAGCTCACTTTTATTAAAATGAAAGGCGCTCGTAAAGAGGACCGGGCAAGAGCTTCGTCTTCCTTTCTGGCTGCGCGAGGTCTCCTCTGCTGGTGGAATGCGGCAATATAGATACGTGTACTTATACTATGCATGACATCGACGCCGACGCCGGCAGCGAAATCCAGCCGAAAGTGTCCGTATAATTGTTATCGAAATGAAATAAAATAAAAAAATTGTCCCCGTATGTGCATGTTACACTGCAAATGTCGTCGAAAGACGATAGTCTTGCGTCTGGAGATTGCGAACAAAACGTTTATTTGATGTTCTGCGCAAGAAAATTAGTGCATGGTATTCTGGAGGCACTGCATTAGAGTTCCTCGAGCGTGCAGCGGAGTCGAACGAGCACATCAAGTCACGTCACACGTGAGACATATGACCGCTATCTGGGAGTTATCTTGGAAAACGAAGTGCGCGGCGTGTGCGCCCGTCTTGGAGGCGATAAGGCGTAGAACGCATGGCAACGGGTAGGTGCCACCACCGTGTCGTCTTAGCGAAGCATTGGAACCAATTGCCATTTCGTGCAAGCGTTGCATGGTCAGTGCAGCGTGATAAACGCTATGGTTCTTAGAATTACCTATGTATGCCTTTTCCAGTAAAATACACATACAGATTATTGACGTATTGTTATGGTGCCTTAAACATGTGCAATATTTGCTTTTTAAATGACATTCGCGCAAGTATGAACGCTGAACCTTTAGCAGTATTGTTGGGTGCTTCGGATGGGGTCGGCCGTCTGGGGCATCGTCTGGTGCCTTTTAGGGTACCGTTAGGGCGTACCAACTGACACGTGTTCAGACAGACAGACACACCGACCAACATTTTTGCGTCAAAAGTCCCCAACACAGACTATCGTCTTTTAAAAAACCAAAGTTGAATGCCAAGATATGTTGCTCATAAAAAACTTGGTGGTGACAAGTGCTGGATATCGGTATCCCGACTGGTTCTAGCACCAAATTTGAAGTGAAATTTGACTGCAAACAAAACCCTGAATAACTTTTCCAAGTCATCATAGAATACCCACAGTATAAGGACTAATTATCTCATAAATCGGTTGCCGTAAAAAATTCTTGATTCCGTCAAAACTGAGCGGCGTCAAAGAGCTTCCCGACGAGTGTGCTGGATATACACATGATGGGATGGCACGAGAGAAAGAAGTCATGAGTGCGCGTGATGACCTTGTGCACGCTTGATAAAACGCGATCACCCTGTTTTATTCCTGTGCACGCCATAGTGGGGCTATTGTCTAATTTTAGCGGACTATGGAACGTGTCACTCCATGGCCAGAAGCACGTCTTATCTAAACGATGCTCTTCTCCGCTGTTGGCCAATAGCTTGAATTATGTCCTTCGATGTCAAGCAGCAGGTGCCGGCAGCTTGTAGAGACTGAGCGCAGGACTGTACGTGACAAGAGGTTGTCTGAGAAAATGACAACTTCACGTCCACTTCGAAACTCTGCTTCCCGCGCATGACTGCAAAAATTTGACTAAGCTGTTCATAGCAGTATCTGCTCTCTACGGGATTTCTTTTTTCGCCAAGTTCGAGGTTCGATGGTTTATGACCCCTTTAACTGTAGTGTTGATTTTTATTCCGGAACCTATTTTGCTTCATACCAGACACTTTGAATTAGGTTCTTGTCCAGCCTTGCTGCACATGTGGCTCTTTAGCAGAGTTGCCAGTTCTTCTTGTAATAGGCGGATTTGGGCCTCTTTTTTCGCTGAGTCGCTTGTAGAGCTGTCTGGTCACTTGTCGCCTCTCTTTGAGTTGATTCACATTTTTCCCAGCAAATATAGCTATCTTAAAGATCATGGCACTCACCAGCGCTCGTTGACTCTTCCCAATAGCGTGCTTGATTTGGCGTAGTTAGTGCATAGGTATACGCAAAGTCTCCCATCCCCGCGAATGTTAATCGCAGCCCCCCCCTCCTTCCCCGTTCTGTTAAGTCAATGTATGGTGCAGATATCGCCCCCCCCCCCCCCAACGCCCCTCCCCCGTGTGCACATCTATAGTTTAGTGTTGAAGTCGAAAATTCGTAATAAAACAAGAACATTAATCAAGCATTGGCAAACGTGTCATCTACCGGATGGAGACTGTCCTGGAGACAATTCTAAAACGTTGCCCCATGATTTTGTTGATATTTGAGCATATTTTCGCTTTAGAAAACAATTGAGCGTTTTTTAAAAGTCTTTTTTCAATTTGTTTGGCATTTTTGCATCATAGTTAAAAGTACTTTCAAGAATGGAAACTATGTTTTCGCTTCTTTAGGGCTTTTTTTTGGAATGAGTATTCAGTTGTCGTCTAAGTAGCGTCTGGCAACATGCTCTTCAGCAAAATCAGTTGCGTAGTAAATTGTTAATTACAATTTTGGCCACAAACGTATGCTCACACGTTGTCGTGGCACTGCCAGATAAGGCTCTGGGGTTTTTTGGAACATGCCCAATAGCAGCAGGAAGCGCAATGTTACCATTGCCTTTTTTCTACATAAACTAGCACAGCATCTTAAGGTAGTGAGAGTGCGTGGCATCTTGATTTTTTTCTTCTGCAGGTGTTGTCAATCATCGTCTATGCATTGACGGTCTCTTCAGCTGTGGGCATTGCCTCTCTGAATCTCCTGATGTCATTGAGCTTCTGCTACTGGCTGCTGTGTTTTTTCATTCTACTGTCGGAAGGCATGCTGACGAAGCCTGTCCTGCCTACGACCACCTTCGTAAGTTTTGCTTCATTATCTTTTCAGCGATTCATTCCATTTTGCTCTTTGTACACTTATTAATCTATTGGAGCTGCATTTTCAATGAAGGCGAAAATGTTGTAGACCCATGTGTGCTCAGATTTGGGCGGACGTTAAAGAGCCCAAGGTGGACGAAATTTCCTGAGCCCTGTACTACGGCGTCTCTCATCATCATATGCTGGTTTTCGGACATTAGAGCCCACATAACAATCATTCAATCACATATTTATCTCTTTCAAGCGAGACATTCTACAGCACCTTTACGCTACTTTTCACACTTGCCTACTTGCTAGATTGTTTGACTATGAATTCCGAGTGCACCTCATCAAGAACTTTCGTCTTCGATCATCTGGTTGTCTGTTTGACATCAGGGACGTATAGCAGAACTTAGATTCGAGCAAGTCTGTTGCTATTCATCCTGAAAGAGCGCAGCAATACGAGGACAAAGAAAAAAAAACCGTATCGGTGTATGTTCCTTCATCTCTATGTTGCTGTGCTGTTCTCAAGATGATTAGAGGCATAGCAGAGAAAGCGACGGGGGGGGGGGGGGGGGGCAATGGGGCTTCAACTTTCGCTTTCTGTTTTTTTTTTGAGAACAACCTCCTGATCCAGAAATCATCTGGGATTTTTTTTCTAGAACTTCTTTTCACCCATGAAGAAACAAGCGCAAAAATACACACACTCAGAGAGGACACAGACAAGCGCTTACTAGCAACTGAAAATTTCATTTCGAAGCTAACACTAATAAATACATCACAAGCATGTACGTCATTCCCAACCGCCTAAAATTCATTTTGGCGCGAACATTGTTTGAGACGATCCTTAGGTACCTTATGTATTTTGCAATGGGTGTAAATTTTATTCAGTCATGTATCAGAATATATGCTTGCACATGTTGCTATCCGTTGTCGTATATGGCTGTAAATATGGCCATATGTGGCACTGCCGTTCGATATGTTGCGAGGTGGATTTATATATTTTTATTTTTTTATTTGTGAAATACTGCAGGCCAAAAGGCCCAAGCAGGAGGGGCACAAACACAAACACAATATCAGTACATGAGTGACACAGCTTCACTAAAATACATCTGTGTAAGAGGAGAGCGAGTAGAAGATAAACATCAAAACAAAGAAAGCACGCGATCAGTACATGAGTAACACAGCTTGACTAAAATACATCTGTGTAGGAGAAGAGCGAGTAGAAGAGAAACATCAAAAAAAAAAAATCAAGCGATATTGGGAGGGGGGGGGGTCAAGATTCACAGAATTAAACATTGGGTTCATCAAGATCGAAGGTTTGGAGGAAATCAGAAGGCAAGTTATTCCATTCTGTTACAGTTCTCGGAAAAAAGGAAAACTTAAATAAATCTGTCCGCGCAAAATACGGAGTTAAAGATCGGACTTGAGAATGACGAGTTTGCCTGGTCGAAACTGGGGTAACATAATGTGATGGGTCTAGCTCAAGTTTATTGTTAATTAGTGAGTCCAAGAATTTTAGACGGAGAAGCTGGCGCCGCGATTGTAGCGTCTGGAATTCGTTATCTCGCATTAGTTCCGTAACTGATGTACCACGACCATACTTTGAGTAAATAAAACGCACTGCTCGTCTTTGAATCTTTTCGAGGGAATATATGTTAGACTTAGTATGCGGATCCCATACAATACAAGCGTATTCAAGCTTTGGACGTATTAAAGTGTCATAAGCTAATAGTTTCACTTGCGACGGGGCGTCTCTGAGTTTGTGCCTTAAAAGACACAGTTTACGGAAAGCCGATGACGAAACATCGGCAATGTGTGCATTCCAGGACAACTTATTCGTTATCGTTATACCTAGGTATTTGTATTGACTGACTTCTTTTAAGGGTTGGCTTTTGGAGGAATAGGAAAACTGAAGGGGATTTTTCTTGTTAGTAATTCGAAGGCAAAGAGATTTATCGAAATTGAGCACCATGCCCCATTTGTTACACCACGAAAGAATATTGTTCAGGGCAGTGTCGAGAGCAACCTGGTCATCTGGCGATTGTACATCTGTGAAAATAATGCAGTCGTCTGCTAAAAGTCTTATTTTAACCGGATCAGTAATAGCATTAACAATATCATTGCAATAAATTATAAACAGCAGCGGACCTAGAACACTACCCTGCGGTACGCCGGAATCTACTGGGAGATGAGGTGATGTCTGTCCACAGACGTCGACATACTGTTTCCGGCCGTTCAGGTAAGCAGACACCCAGGATACTAGGTAGTTTGGAAGCCCTATAGTCTGCAATTTCTCGATGAGCTTGTTATGGGGAACACGGTCGAATGCTTTACTGAAATCTAAAAACAGTACATCGACCTGACCAGCTTTGTCTGAAATAGAAGCAATGTGATGAATAACTGAGACCAACTGGGTGACTGTGGAAAACCGTTTTCTAAATCCATGCTGAAAGGGAGATAAAATGTGGTTATCATCTAAGAAGCTGTTTATACGAGTGGCAATTATATGTTCTAGCATTTCGCAACATGCGGAAGTCATAGAAATGGGACGGTAGTTTGGTATGCACTCTGGGTCCCCCTTTTTCACAAAGGGCAGAACACGTGCCAATTTCCAATCGATGGGTAAAGTTGCTGAACTTATTGAGGCTCGGAAGATCACAACAATGTACTTGGCCAATATTTCGGCATATCGCCGGAGAAATGCATTGGGTATGTTGTCTGGTCCAGGGGTTGATTTAACTTTTAATCGCAGCAGTAACTTAAGGACACCATCGAAAGAAATGAGGTTAGGATCTGAATCAGAAGCGTCAATGCTAATTGAGACAGGCAGGGTAGAAGTTGAAAAAACACTATGAAAATAGTCGTTGAAATTTTTCGCGATAGTTTGGGGATTGTCAATTATAGTGCCGTTAAACTTGATTCGATTTACAGAGCTTTTACGGTCCCTAATAAAATACACGAATTTTTTAGGGTCCTCTTTGATGAAGTTTTGCAACTTGACAGTAAAATAAAAATTCTTGGCACTTTTAATAGCTTCGGAGAGGGAGTTACGAATTTCCCTGAGAATGTTAGCGGGAGCACCTTTTTTCCGATAACGCTTGGCTTTACGCTTCATTTGTATTATTGGCCTTGTGATCCATGGTGTGAACTTTGGGGTTTTTTTCGTTTTGTTTGGTACAAACCGTTCAATGCAGTGGAAGCATAGTTTTTTAAACTTATCCCAGAGAACAGAAGCGTCGTCCCCATCAAAATGCACCAATTCACATTCAAGATAATCTTGGATGCTCGTATCGTTAGCACGGGAAAAAGTTTTGACCTGTTTAGAGTTAGGTAGGCTATTGGAGCGATTACAATGCAAGGGAAAAGAAACTGTGACCATGTCGTGATCAGATAAGCCGGGTTCAACACAAACACAGCAATCAAGAATAGTGCGATGCATGAACACAAGATCTAGTAACGTGGACGAAGCATTACCAACACGTGTTGGTTGCTGAACAATTTGGGCGAGATTGTGGGAAAGCATTATATCGAACAGTATATTTGCATTAATCAAATCTGATGTCGACTGCATTTGGTTCCAGTCAATATTAGGCAGATTGAAGTCGCCGATGACAATTAGCTTTTGATTACTGTAATTTTCCATATGGGTTTTCAAGTTAAACAAATAATCCGGCGACGAATTCGGCGGCCTGTACACTGCATACAATACAAAAGACTTATTGAAGAGTGAAAGCCTCAGGCATATGCTTTCTGTACTTTCAACGTCCGGTAAACGGGTGACAGTGATTCCTGTTTTAACAAGTACTGCAACTCCACCACCTCTTGAGGCCCTATCTCTGCGGTACATTTCATAAGCTGGAGGCACTAAGTCTTGGTCACACATTTCGCTGTGGAGCCACGTTTCCGTTATTACAACAACATGAGGGTTGTATGCTAAAAGTACAGCCTCAAGTTGTTCGGTTTTATTTCCAATGCTTCGAGCATTCATATTAATCAGTCTAACTTGCTTCTGCGCGGCTGGTCAACACTTGCTACCCGTACTTTCGTTATCGGGTGCACTGCCGATAGACTGAGGCGATGCCGTGGCACACCGACGGCTTCCAATTAACTGACGTTTGTTTGTTACGTCATTCCAAATAAACAGATCATCACCTACACGCAACTTATCATGCACCAAAAATGCCTTCTTGTCTTGTTCTTTGTCGGCTTTTGCACTTTCCCACAGTAATTTACGTTTTGCCAACGTCTGCTTTGAGTAGTCGTTCTGAACAAAGATGTTAGTTCCCTTTAGGTTGCTCGCCTTTTTCAGCACAGCTAGCTTTTCGGTGAAGTCTTGAAGATACAAGATAATCGGCCCATTCGAGCCTGATCTTCCAAGCCTATGAATCCGGGCAACAGAAGTGCATTTAACGCCGAGCTTGCTGTGAAATGTTTCAGAGACGACTTTCTTTTTAAGATCAGATTCAGTTTCTTCCGGCTGTTCTGGGATACCAAAAACAATCAAGTTTGAACGTCTGCCTCGATCTTCAAGATCCGTTAGCTTTCGGGCCTGGAAATTCATTGAGTTTGTGTAGACCTTAAGAAGGTTGTCCAGGTCATCTAATTTTGAATTTTTAGTTTTCATTTCAGCCACATGGGTCTCGATTTCTGAAAGACAACTTACTGGAGTCAAACGCAGCCATACATGACATGCCGCATTTGACTGATGATGGATATGAGGGATTTAACATCCCAAAACCACCATATGATTATAAGAAATGCCGTAGTGGAGGGCTCCGGAAATTTCGACCACCTGAGGTTGTTTAACGTGCTCCCAAATCTGAGCACACGGGCCTACATAATTTTCACCTTCATTAAAAATGCAGCCGTCGAGGCTGGGATCTCGCAACCTGGGGTCAGCAGCCGAGTACTTCAGGCGCTTGACCACCGCGGCGGGGCTGCCACCGTTGACTACATAATTATTTGTTTTCACTTTCTATACAAAAGTGTTCATTGGTTGAGCAGAGTGAACCACAGATCGGAAAAACTTGTGCAGCTCACTAGAACTCACACATGAAAGATATTTCATGCTTTGTACTCGCTCGGACTCAGACTCACGAAAATCTTCCTGAGCCGGACTTCCTCAGACTCACACTCACGAAAATTTTCGTCAGGCGGACTCACTCGGACTCAAACTCAACAAACCATTATTAACGCGGACTTGGACTCACGGCTCGATGTGAGTCTGCGTGAGTCCGACTGAGTCGACTCATAAGTCCGTAAGCCTAAAATTAGCTTCTTCGACTGTGGTGTGAACGCTTCCTAACGCTAATATCTCACGTAATCAGTGCTCTTCTTGCTGATGCTGGACATAGTATCTTCTAAAACTAACTCTTAGTGCTTCCAAACCAGTAAGGTGATTTTTCTTGGAATAGATGAGAGTATAACATATAAAAAAACAAGAAATTTTATGAATAATTACGTAGTGAGAGCTCAAGACATCCTCCTAAGTAATTCACGTCTCTAATTATAAATATATAACTGGTGTATAGAACAGTCCTTCGGAATACTTGTGAGTAGGCGTGCGTATAAACGTGAATCGAGGTAAGGCTGATAGTAATGCTGAATATGATGATGGGACCATATGTCAATAAAAGAAAGTGAAACTTCGCTGAGACTCACTGAAGAAATGTTTTAGGGGCGAAGCTCCTTATGGCGTGGCTTGGGCGTCCCTCGTATGTAACCACCAGTGGCACATACCCGAAATAGGTATAACACTTGACCTCCAAGGTGGTGCCAGTGAGAGATTTCTTCTGTGCGTTGTTTAACAATAAAAAATAGTGCTCAATGTACATGCCAATGGCTGCTAATGGGGAATGAGAGACATGAGCATTCGGCTTTTAGTCAACGCGCACGCTGCAATCCCCATTAGCAGCCATTGGCATGTACATTGAGCACTATCGGACAAGAAAGGGATGCTACATTATACTCGCTGGGTGTAACCTCCTTAGCTTTAGAAAGGTTTAGCGAGCGTTGAGCCGCAGTGCCATGAATACAATGAACTTGTATATACCATGAATGAACTCAAGGTGGTTAAAAATGAGAAGTAGATACGGAGCGCAAGCCGTAAGAAAGTAAAAGCCGAATTCTCCTGTCTCTCATTTCTCATTAGCAGCCATTGGCATGTAAATTGAGCCCTATCTGACAGGGAAAGGTTGCTACGTTATACTCGCTGGGCGTAACCTCCTTGGTTTTCGAAAGGTTTAGCGAGCGTTTGGTCGCAGTGCCATGAATACAGTGAACTAGAATATACCATGAACTCGAGGTGGTTAAAGGTGGGAAGTGGACCCAAAGCGCAGGCCGTAAGAAAGTGTGCGTGTGCCACCTCTCGTTTAGTCCTTGGAATGTCCGCTGGATGGCGGTGCTTCTATATGGGGAATATATGATAAAAAGATGCGAGATGGTGGGACTTGGAGTGTTGAATAGATGAACGAACGGACACACAAACAGATGCATGGATGGACGCATGAACGGACGCAGGGGCGGATGCATGAAAGAACGCAGGGACGGGCGCACAAACAGACGCATGGACGGTGACACAGACGGACGCATGGACGGACGAATGCTTCGCCCCACTCTCCATCATTCACTCCGTGGATATGCTGCCATTTTTTTGCGCTTTGGACTCACTCTGACTCAGACTCACTAAAACTTTCTTGATCCGAACTCACTAGGACTCACACTCACGAAGCTTTTATTCGACAGGATTCACTCGGACTCAGACTCACGGGTCATTCTGAGTTTGAGTGAGTCCGAGTGAGTCGACTAATAAGTTAGTTCACCGACCTATAAAATGAACTGCCTCGAAGAACAGAATTGTGCAGCAGTGTTTCATCCACTAAGTACACATGTATTACTTCATTTGATTTGCTATGAAAACTATTACTCACGCAGTCGATTGGCATGTCAGGCCGTCCATGAAAATTCGTATATATGTAATACCATAAAAATAAGTTATTTTCGAAGCCTCTCCCGGAATTCGACTTCATGGAAGCCATCTCATCGGATGAAATACTCAAGGCAAACACGGACTCAACTAACCAGTTTAAATGTGTAACCTTCAACGCAGGTGTGCATACAAGGCAGATCTGTCTCAAATACAGCGAGCTGAGGCGCGGACAGTTTGTTCATGTGCCAAACTGAAAGCTTTTTGATGTACTCTTTAAAGTAATTGTTCTTCGGTGTAACACGTATTTTCTGTCCATCTCCGTCGCACCTACACGCATGCTTGGCTGGTATTATTCTTCCGCCATTTATTTCCAGACTCATGGTTACAATCCTCTTGAGGAAATCCTTACCGTCAAAACGACTTACACTTCCTTTGTGCTCGGGCTCCACCGCGGTGGTCTAGTGGATAAGCTACTCGGTTACTGACCTGCAGGTTGCGGTATTGAATCCTGGGGGCAGCGACTGCATTTTCGATGGAGGCGAAAGTGCTGTAGGCCCATGTGCTGAGATTTGGGTGCGCGTTAAAGAACTCCAGGTGGTCAAAATTTTCGGAGTCCTGTGTTACGGCGTCTCTCAAAATCAAATGGTGATTTTGGAACGTTCAGCTCCACATATATCGATCAATTAATTCTTTGTGCCTAAGAAATGGAAAAAGTCGCAGGAGACCAGATAAGGAAAGTAAAGAGGTTTATTTATTTATCTATCCACTTAAATATTTTGAATACTGTAAGTTTCTTGCGAGACCATAGGATGTGGCCATGCAACTTGGATATGCAGGTACAAAGAACATGGATCCAGGGCTGTAATTCGAAAAGTGTACAATGCAAGTTTCTTAATAATAATTTCAGTCAATATACAAATATGCATATGTAAATTACATACAGAAATATAAAACTGAACATGCAAATATGTACAAGTAATAAAAAAATTACACTCAATTTATAAACAAAACAGAGAGTATACATGACAAAGTGCTACGCAGACAATGATTGTTTTATATAGGATAATGAAATTCATGTTGATAAATGAAGGCGCGATTCTGATTGCTGAGAGCGTTGTGATTTGGTGCGTTATCTGGATGCAATAGCTCAGTTTGTGCTGCTACAACTTCGGTCTCATCTCTACTAGATACTGAGTGAAGCTCCATCGACCTCCTAATTCGATGGTCGCAGGTTAGCATGCTGCTGGTGTCATGTTATCTTTTCGCTCACTTTTTTTCTTCCCACATACATTACAATTATTTATGTAACATCACTTATACTTTTCTTGGCATCATTGTGCTTCAGTTCTCATTAATACTGTGTCTGGCTAATAACTTTCGCTGTTTTGAAACCAGATTTTAAATGCGTTTATGACCGCCAGTGAGGCCAACGAGTGGCTTGAAAGTGGCGTTTCTTATTGGTTTTCAAGCTATTTACAAAAATTTACTTTTACATGTACTGGCACTGCACGTGATTGCGTTGCGTATTACTTCAATGATTTGAGTGCGCTGCACGTGAATTCTTCATGACGAAATGTGTTGTACAAAACCTGGCATAATAGCGTACGCCTAGCTTAGTTTATTTGTGCGCACCGTGTTGAATTCGCCAACTCGCAATGCTTCAGAATATGGCGTACACCTTCCCAGTGGGCTGCGCGGCAGTAGCAGAATTGAAAAACCATTGAACTGCGGTGACCAACACAGCACCCGTCAGTTCGAAATTCCATTGTATACGTGTCTGCTTGGAACGATTGTCACGGCCTGCACGTGCGACAGCTAGATTAATACCATATTTTATGTTTTTTTTCCTGTGTATGGCAAATGGCACTATCTCACGTACAGGTAGAGCATTTAAACACGCAATAGGACCGTGTAAGTGGTAAAATAATTGCCGTCCACCCGTATGCTTCATCAAGCTACAATTAAACCCAGTGTAGAGGCTTCTCAGAAATATACGCTGCTGAAGTGAAGTCTTTCCTGGGCCGGTATTCAAACACAGGACCAACGAATTTTCAGTGCACTCACTATACTGTTCCATCTTTATCCTTCATGAGCATTCATCCATTCATCCATATATTCGGGTTTTTCTCAAAACCGATCTGCATGCAGTAGAGACAGACACTTAGGAGAGGGGTATATACATGATACACCACTTGACCAGTGGGTTGCGCCATGGCTCTATTAAGTGTTGTGTAATAAAAACAAAACAAAACATTGAATGAATGTTAATGTGTTTAATTATGTTGTTCGGGCGTTTCGAACGTGTTATTTGCAGTTTCTCATATTCCATTCGTTTGGATCTGTCCTGTACGTCTTCATCTCTATCGCCCACCTGGCCATCTTCAGCTCTTCCGCTGCGATGGTGGGAGCGGTTTTGGTCAAGGCTGTTTACAACGCTGACGCAGTGAACGCAGCTGGGGTGAAGTATAAGTTTTGTTTTAAACCGTGTTGTTTCCATACTTCATTTTTATATTTGACATAGATGACGCAACGTGGACGTCGAGCTTATAGGAAAAGCAGAAACACTAGTGTCGTACTGATCGCAAGCCCGCGGTTCTCACTCCTATCAAAGGACCTGGTGTGGAATGCACAAAACTTTAGTTTCTATGCGCTTGCAACTGGCGGGCTTCCTTCGCATATATAAAATGTGTAGCATAAGTATTGCCCACTGCATGCATTTTACTAACATTCCTAGTTGATTAAAGAAGTTGAGGGTAAGAGCACCAAGCTTTAAGTACTTTGCCTGAATAAATGACCCAATAAGAGTGTGAAAACGCTGCCATAGTTATTTCATATCCTGATATATCTAAACTTTAAAAAGCGACACTTACTAGTAAGCCCATTCATTCCCCATGATTGATCGATTGATTGATTATTTGACCTTTTTAACCTGGCGCAACCCAGCCTGAGGAATCAGCCATGAAACGAGTGGTATTACATTTGTTGCTTCCAGAAATATAACCCTTTTCTCATTCCGGCTTCTGAGAACAAAAACAAACACTGTACACCATCGCATTTTCACGATGTTTGCATCTATGTATACAAAAGGGTGAGATTTCAAGGTTATCGCGTGAGCGTCAATGAAAAACTACAACAGCAGAGTGGCCTAGAATCTCAGGTATCAGGTAAACTTCCCTTATTATTTTTGCTGTTCCTTAGGCTGCGATCCCCCCTGCCTCGGGATGCCATTTTTCAATTTTGAAAAATCAATATGTCATGTATTTTGCGCGACTTAGTGAGTCATTCAAACAAAACAGTGTCAAGCACCAGCTTCATCATATCTTTCCTATCAGTTTTCTTATCGTCTCCGTAGATAAAAGCCGACAAAGTCTACGCTTGATAGCAACGAATTAAAATCTTACACGAGAGAGTAAGGATGCAGAGTTCGTTGCAGGGGTGATTGTTGTAACACAGGAAAGTCAATGAGGGAGAGGAGATTGCATTATCTAACTTTTCACTTTTTCGAAACGTGCCGCTAGGCCACTGTGTAAAAATATATTCTTGCACCTTGCCCGTACGCTGCTAGGCCGGTCGATGCTCGCACGATGAACTTCAAATTGCGCTAGACTGTATACCTACGTTGCTAGTCTCGCTAATGATCTATAAGGAAGAGGTGGTTTTCTTCTTCATTTATAACTTTCTCTAAGATATTCTGCGGCAGCTTCTACTGAACTCATATGGAGCAATATCTATGCGCAATTCATGCAAGATACATACCATATCAATGAATTGTCATTCTAAATAATATCAAAAACGTCTCACATGCAACTATTCAGGTTGTTTGCTAGAAAAGATACTTTTCTGCTTTTTAAACCAAATCATCCTGTATTTTGCGCCATTTAGATTTCTTTCAATTTTGCAATATTTTTTTTAATTTTGCCCTAGGCCTACACGATAAAACGACCTTGCAATCGGTAGAATTGGTCACGGGGGAACAAATTACAGTAAAAAGTAGATCTAAGGATACATGATTTCATAAATTCCCAGATATAACGAATGAATTTATACTTCCCGGATGATAGTAATTAGTTTCAGTTGTTCATCAACTCGAATTAACGAATATTTTATGGCGACGAGTCCGAATAAACGACGCTTTTCTGGAAATCAATAGGTAAAACATGGAATGATGTGTTCCTAATCTTCACAAAAGCAAGTTTTCTTTGAGCATGCGCTGTAACGCTACTGCGTTAAAACATCAAGCCACTCTAGTTACGCCTTTAGCCTTACTTTAACGAGAATGCATGCGGTGAAGATGTAGCATAAATGGCGCTGGGGCAATGGGGGCTTGTCGTGCCTGTAAATCTGAAAACCCCCTGCAGGAACATGGTGACATCTCTCGTTATTCAATGGTTTATCCGACAGATGGCACTGATTGTGTCCTTGCAACTTTCTTGCTTTTCCTGTTGGCACAATCACTGCGTTCATTTTCTGTTTCCTTGCATATGGACAGCTTGCCATAGCTTCTCGCGACAGAATGCGAGAAGGAGTAAGATTTCCACCTGCGCCACTACTGTATCGCAGGTAGCTTGACATGACAGTCGACCTCACCCATATGGCGCGGACTTGGGAGGCTTCACGTGGAATGTTCCATGCCCAGGCTGCCGTCATGGACTTCCCACTCACGCAGGCGTGTGTTCGTGGCAGATAAAATGTCACCGAGTATCGGCATTTCGAAAGATCCGAAGTTTCCTTTCTCGATATTACAAACTTTTCACTTTAAAGAATCTATTCCCTCGCGGTTATCACTTCATTAAATTGAGTTTGAACTCTATATAAAATAACAGAAACGTGCGAATATTTAAAAATGCATGAGACATGAATCTTGAGTCTTTTACTTGAAGTTTATGGGCAGCTGGCCATGAGAGTAGAATGCTGAGGCAATGGTGCACAATGAAGCGAGGCTCATATGTTTGTTGTCGCCGAGGAACTTCATGCCATCAACGATGCTGTGAACCTGTATAAGCTGCCAACAATAAAACAACTTGACATCTTCTGTGATTTGTTAGCAGCTATTCAAAAACTCAACAGGGTTCACAAGGTGATGGAAATATATGAAGCGGTACACACAACTAATTCTAAAATGGCTACATGCGTCAGGGTATACGGGGTACTCAAGGCCATGTTGCGAAACCTCAATATAGCTGCCGATCAGTGGGAACAATGACGTCCTAACCAAGTCATTCATGAATTCACATACCACCTCGACCCCACAGCTCACTCTAAGCTCGGAAAAATTTTCTCCGGCAGACCACACGCGTGCTTATCCCACCCTGCGTCAGCTTTCTGCCCCTTACTGCACCTTACTGGCGCAGAGGAAGTCGTACTTAAGATGCTTCGGAGCGGGTTGCCCTTACACCGGCTGTCATCTCAACGTGGAACTGGTCGCACTTAAGTTCTGTTCAGTCCTAGTGATAGAAGCAGATGCGTGTCGGCTAATTTTGACTTGTCAAGGTTCACAATTGTAACGCACCCGTCACTTACTGCAATCGACCTAAGTTGAGGTGTTACGAACAGCCATATGACCACTAGATACAAAATAACATATTCCGGAAGACGCTACTTCAAATCATACACAACACAGGCTTTACAGCACACATTCAATACACATATGCATCATATTAATCATTTATGGGGTTAAACGTCCAAAAAACACCGTATGAGTATGAGAGACTACGTATTGGAGAGCACCGGAAATTTCGACCACCTGCGGTTCTTAAACGTGACCCAAATCTGAGCACACGGGCCAACATCAATTTCGCTTCCATCAAAATTGCAACTGGTTTTGGGACGTTAAACACCACATATCAATCCGATCATTCAATCGAGTCATTTTGCTTGCAATGTTTCTTTGAAACTTGATCTCAGAGACAGTAGAGAAAGAGTATCTCAAATCGCACTTTCTCATATCTCGTAACTAGATTTTTTTTAGCAAAAGCACAACATGTGCGAAAGGTCATTCTTGCAACATTGTCAAACATATTTCATTGGCGTGCATTCTTTTTTTTTTCGCAGGCAATGGGACTCATCGCGGGAGCTGCGCACCTCTTCCACACTGCGTTAATCATCAAGAAAATGATTTCGTAGGAAGGATTGAAGAACTGAATTCCGAGTGCGCTGATATATCTTGTCACCGAAACACAATAAGGCAATGTTTGTTTGCAGGCGGTGCTTATAGGCCTTGATAAGGTGGGGACTATGTGGCTGTGGCGACATCGGTTTCTCGAGTGTAAACGAGTCCCCCTTGCTTGATCGATAGAGATGAGCATTTGTTTGGTGAGCTGTGTGGGGGCTATTTGTATGAGGCAACGTAATGGGCTTTCCAATGAACGCGTACCGACGTGAACAGCGCAGTTAGTGTATTATTACACCATCACCCTCTTAGTGATGCAAGTGGTGGTCGTAAATGCAACACAAGCTCACCATTTTGTCTTAGTTCTTGAATAATGTGACCTGCGGATGCATGTCTTGGAACACGGGTTGTTCAGGTTCTGCTCAATCCCGTTTTGAATTGGTGGCTGAAAAATGGGCGTTCGTGCGGTGGCCACCTGTCTCGGAGGGCATGATAGGTTTTATGCGTGTCGTGCATCCACCTATAGATGTCGTGAATCGTCCACTCTGACATTGGCTTTTGTGCGCGACGCTGTCACTCACGCCGATGGAGCTGGCGTCCCGTCCAGATGAGTTGTACATTCTGGCAGTATTGTCGACACCATGCATGTAGAGTAACGTCTCGAAAATAGTACTTCACTTGAGTTAATTCAAGCAGTAATTTATTCCCTTATCTCTTCCTATGCATCTGACTATTCATTTGATAATACGCCGGGGAGACACAAGAAGGAACAACTCAATCTGGTTAGACATATGCAACACTCTTTCACTTATTTTCATGACTCACTACCAAACATCAGAAAGAGCTGTCGATTGTGTTTATGAAGATTTAAAGCTCACAAAACATTACCAAATCTAACCTAAGTCTGCTGAAGTCGTGCCGCATCCACGTGCACTACAGAACGTCGCCCGGCCGCGATGGTCTCATGGTTAAGGTACTCAGCTGCTGACCCGCAAGTCGCGGGATCGAATCCCGGTGGTGATGATAGTGGCTGCGTTTTTGATGGAGGCGAATAATGATGTAGGCCTGTGTGCTTAGATTTGTGTGCACGTTAAAGAACCCCAGGTGGTCGAAATTTCTGGAGCCCTCCACTACAGCGTCTCTCTACTACGGAGTCTGCCCCATTTGTATCGTCATTGTTAAAATTGCAGGGCTGTGGCCATGCAGGTTTCTGATAATAATGTTGGTTTTGGGATGGTAAACTTCTCATATTAATCAAATCAATTACATAACGCCAGTGTCGTGAACTCTTGCGTTGTTGTGTGAAGGAGTCATTAGCAGCTACAATAGTGAAGTACGTTCTGTTTCTTACGATAATATCCCAAAATGCATTACTGAGAGAAAATACTTTATTTTTTCTCATATATTCGTTTTTGTTCCGAAATCACCAAGTTATCCTAAGTCAATTTCATTATGTAGAGTTAAGTCCAATTACAAGTTTAGGCATGTTGAGTCAATTATCGCTCTTCATTCCATATTTTGGCTATATTTATTTATTCAAATACATAGGTGTTCACATAAAACCTTATATAACGCAGTGGTATCAAGTGCTTAAATCCATTCATTATAAGTTATTGTTCTAAGAATACCTTCACGCACTGATATTGTCATTTTGTATTTTATTCGTTATAACCGATAATTTGTTATATGCTCATTAAATTGAGGTTGCCAATTGAAAGTATCCTCAATGACCATTTTCGCCACTGATTGACACGCTGCAGAAATTAGGATGAATAAAATGTGGCTGTTCAGTTTTCTTTACATATTGCCTCCATCCCCGCGTTTGTTATAGAATAAAAGGAGCATGATTATGGATGTAAAAGTTTGCGCGTGTGTATACGTATCGGCACTAGGCTACACTTACTGGTCATGGTAGCTTCCATCCAATAGCTGGTATCGGACTAGTTTCTACGTTGTTATGTTGAGAAATTCAATCTATTAAGTACGGCTACTCTATGTTCTAATAGTTATGTATTCGCTACCGATACTAAGAAGCTAGTAATATATGCACAAGCTAGTTCGTAACTTACAGCAATGTGTGACGCTTAGTCATCCATCGCAAAAACAAACAAGCAAAAAAGAATGAGTGCCTCAGCAGGCGATGAACTGAGAAAAGAAGACACCGTCAAGCGTCGACACCTAAAGCGAAAAGTGATTAGAGAATGTACTTGTCTGTAAGCCTACCCGAGAACCACGAATAAGTCACATTAGGGGAGTGACCCCTAAATTTGCGCAAAACGAGCTCTCTAATGCTATTGCGTTAAAACAAGACAAACGAAAAATAAAACAAGAGAACAAAGCTATATCCTGTTTGCAGATCTTCTTTTATGATGAAGCTTCGTTTGATCTCTGGCATGTTTTGCCGAGACGAGCTTACTGATAGAAACTTTGTTTTCTTTGTTACTATAGTGTATCAAATATTTTTCGCAACTTCTGTGCTTTGACGGGAGAGCGCGTTAGTTGTGCCTAACTCCAGAAATTCTCGCTAAACATTATATTTTGGCTGATTGCTTAAAAAAGTCCGCCTTGGTCTCCAACCAGAAGCTATGCACGAAGACTGTAGTTCGAGGGTGCTTCTAATTCCAACTAGGCAGATCACTCAACTAGTCCGCAGAAGCAGGCCGACACCTTGGGTCCCTCTAGGCTTACACTGCAACTGAGATCATCTGTATTACAGTCGAACCCACTTATAACAATACCGGTTTTAACAATGTATGGTTATGGTGAAATAACCCGCCTGCAGCAGTGCCCGTACGCCGCATTATACGTTACAACGATGAGTTATAGCTGTCTTTTTATCACTCCGAGGGGAAATAGAGTGTGAAATTCTCGAGCAGGAAGTATAAAACGAGAAATTCAAGCTGCTGAACCCTCGCTTTAAACCACGACGTCTCACGGCTCCTTTCAAAATTTTGGTAAGCTTTACTGCAGAATGGTTTGGTACTGCAGCAAAGCTGACTCTCAACATTCACTAAAGTGCAGAAATGGTGATGGCCTCGGTTAATACACTTTCCGACATGCAAACTGAGCAACACACCAAAACATGGAAGAGTTTCCGTGTCCTAAACTTCAGAAGTTGTCATACATTGGCTCCATGTGGCTTGTGGCAGTCCCGTAAAAGCACCCAAATTATCAAGCATGTTCGAAAAGCCGCGGCTTTGTCATTCTCATCACTGATGTCTGTTGCCGTACCTATTCGATAAATAGTTTTCTCGTAGCAGCCTGCCATCACTCCATTTCTATTCATACAACTCGTTTGTAGCAATTATCGTTTACAACAATTAAATTTTCGTGGCACTTGAGTATTGTTAAAACAATCGACATTATTTCCGAGTCCTTATTAAGGGCAGGCATTCACATCACTCTACGTACTACGAATAAAGTCAGATATAATTTATTTATTTATTTATTTATTTATTTATTTATTTATTTATTTATTTACTTATTTTTTGTTTATTTATTTATTTATTTATTTATTCACAATACTGTAAGCCCTGTCGGGCTGTTACAGAGTGGGAACTACATCATACAATGACAATTCTAATTTACCAACAAAAGATTCAACTGTGTCTACATTCTCAAAGAAATCGGCGGCAAGACAGTTCCAGTCGACAATCGTTTTGACAAGAAAAGTGTTTTTAAATGTGTCAATTTTCGGTGTGTAGGGCATAATTACGTGTGGGTGATTGGTTCTTGATGAGACTCTTCCTGGGGGACGCAAATAGAGAGAAGGGTTTCAATTGAGCTTATTGTTGTAAAGCTGATATAAAAACTTTAGTCGAGTGATTTTTCGGCGAATGGCAAGTTGAGGAAGTTTAACCTCAGTGAGCAGGGTTGTTATTGACTGCCTTTTCTCATAAACGGAAAAAATAAATCGTGCTGCTAGCCTCTGAACACGCTCCAGTTTATCTATTTGATATTGGTGATGCGGGTCCCAGATCATACTAGCGTATGCTAAGGTAGGCCGAACAATAGTTTTGTACGCCTGAAGTTTAACCTCAGGAAGGCACCTATTAATTTACGTCTCAGTAGTCCAAGTTACCGCTGCGCTGATCCGCAGATATTGTCAATATGTGCATTCCAATTTAGTGTATTTCTAATTGTCATACCAAGATATTTAATTTGGGTGGATCTTTTGATTTGGTTAGTATTCACTGTATAGTCAAACATTAAAGGCGTTTTCTTGTTTGAGACTGTCATGCAGGCAGACTTCTTAGGGTTGATTTCCATATCCCATTTTGCACACCAATTGTGAATAATGTTTAAGGCATCATTTAAACAAGTTTGGTCAGAGACAGTCTTGACGCGTGTAAACAATAGTCAATCGTCGGCAAACAATCGCACTTCAATGTTGGGATGTACACCACTTGCAATGTCATTAATGTACAGCAGAAACAAAATTGGGCCTAAAACCGACCCTTGCGGCACACTAGAAGGAATGGGCAAAAAAGATGAAAGTTCGCCGGCTATTTCCACAAAATGTTGACGATTCGTCAGGTAAGCTTGAATCCACCTAATTATTTGTAAATTAACACCGTAACCATGTAATTTATTTAGAAGTTTCGCATGACATACCCTGTCGAAAGCCTTTGATAAATCTAATGAAATAACATCTATTTGTTCTTTCGAATTCATAGCTGCAGCAAAGTGATGAATGGTTTCAAATAACTGTGTCACAGTTGAAAGGCGTCGGCGAAAACCATGTTGTTTGTTGTAAAAGAGGTTGTTATTTTCAAAGTACGCAACAAGATGTTTACCAGTTATATGCTCTAAACGTTTACACACTGTACATGTAATGGAAATGGGGCGATAGTTTTCAACCATCAGCTTGTCTCCAACTTTGGGCACAGGCACAACCCTTGCTAGCAGCCAATCACTCGGTACAACACCAGTTTCCAATGAGGAGGCAAAAATTTTGACTAAAAATAATGCAACCAATTCGCAATAGCGCTTTAAAAACTCGTTCGGTATTTTATCAGGCCCTGAAGACTTCTTGACATCTAATTTTAAAAGCAATTCAATTATACCTTCCTTAGAGATAACAATGTCATCTTCACAATGGCTACCATGTTATGAAGCGTGGAAGCTTGGGCAAGTTGGTAGGACATAATTGAATTGGACAGCGCTCTTTTCTGTCCTTGTTTTTTCGCTTCCGTAGTTACGAAGTAACTACTTGTAGGTTGCGCTGTTCCTGAATTCAATTATGGGCTACCATGTTCTTGACTTATCGAGGCCATATCCGTCGGGCTAGTATATGTACTGTTAAAGAAATTGTTAAAAGCTTCAGCAACTGAAACTGGATCACTGCAAATGTTTCCATTTAAAAGTACACTGGTTGTAGCCGGCTTTGACCCAACCAAGTATCTCCAGAACTTCTGAGGTGAATTTTTCAAATAATCAGCCAACGTTGTTGAAACAAAATGCTTTTTAGCAGTTTTTAACTCCTTCCGCACGTCGGTACTAAGCGTAGCGATTGCAACGGGGTTTCTCGGTCTTTTTTGTCGTGCCCGGCGCAGTCGTCGTTTCAAATGAATTATATGTCGATTAACCCACGGGTTTGTTTTTTGTAAGCATTTCTTTCTTTTCGGCACAAAACGAGATAAGCATTCACTCACAGTAAGTGTAAAGTATTCCCAAAGTTCATGAACGTTATTTCCTCTGGGCATCTTATCAAGAGCAGTTTCTAGTAGATCAAGAATGGATGTGTCATCAGCGCGTTTGAAATTGTAAACCTTCACGATCGGATTCTTTACTACGCCCTTATTCGCAATTTGAACTGTGGCCACGACAATCTTATGGTCAGAGATCCCTTCCTCAATTTCGACTGTGTAATGAAACGTTTCCTCTGACAAAAATACGAGGTCCAGCAAACTCTGGCACTGTCCTTGTATTCGCGTGGGGCTGTCAACTACCTGAATAAGACTGTGTGTTACCATAGTTTCCAATATGCATTCCGCGTGAGGCTTCTCTAAGGGCCCAGGAATGCGCGCCTCCCAATCTATTCCAGCCAAGTTGAAATCCCCAACCATAATTATCCGGCTTTTGGTACTAGTGAGGGCTGCTAAGTGATCATCTATTTTTTTAATGAATTCGACCGGGCTTCCCGGGGGTCCATAAATAACGCCAATTATTACAGCTATTTCGTCAAGGAATATCTTGCACCAAACACTTTCGTGGTCATCTAAAAGGGGTAACTGCTCATACTTGATGGAACCTTTAATCAGCAATGCCACACCACCCCCTCTCGTTGCCCTATCTTTACGGATTACGCTGTATGAACTGGGAAATACTTCGTCATTCGTAATGTCTTCGTTTAACCATGTCTCAGTTATGGCAATTAAATGTGGATCGTGCTGTAACGATACGCACTCCAATTCTTCAAGCTTGTTTACGACACTTCGGGCGTTTATGTTTAGTAGCTTAATTCCATTGCTCGCCTGCTGTCAGTCCCGATCCCGCGAAGCAGTTCCATTATTACTGCGAATTCTGGCCCGAGCATTCGACTGCTTGTCCCACGTGTACATTGTACCATTAATTACGAGCTTGTCGTGAACAATATAAACAACTTGGATAGAGTAGCATGTCTGGATACTTCTGAGCAGTGCTATGCAATGACACACGCAGAGCAATCGATAGCTGTCACACATTGTTTTATTACTGGTGCGGAACACTTTTGAACATTATTTCTTACCATCATTGCTAAACCATGTTCAATTTATTATTTTGATCTGTTTACGTGTTCCTTTGCTAAAGTTAAATCTATGATCGTAGAAGAAAATTTATTCCACTTTTCCTGGCATCGTGTTTTTACTTCTTTCTATCTTTTTTTAGGCTATTGCGTTTTACTTTAATTCTGTAATGGTCCCACGTTTTCATTCGTTTCGCTTATTGAATGTTATTTATTGCTGCTTTCCCCAGGCTGATTATTATGTGCTAATGGTAACTATACAAGCCGCCTATTGACAGCCAAATTGATTGATAGGCGTAAGGTATGCGATGTAAGAAAGTACAACATGGAGTGCATTGAACACGCTCTAAAAAACAGACGAAGCGTCAAAGCAGTGAAGAGGAAACTTGGGATAGGCAAAAATCGGATGTATGCACTAAGGGAAAAAGAAGGCAAAGTAACTACCAATATGTATAGGATAGTTAAAATAGCGGAGGACTCTTACAGAGATCTGTACCATAGCCGGGACAACCACGATCGTAATACTTTATGAACTAGCAGTAACCCAGATGAAACCCCAGCAGTAATAATGGAAGAAGTTAGAAAAGCTTTGGAGAGCATGCAAAGAGAAGAG